GCCAAACCCAACGGGATTGGTGCCGAACCCAACGGGATTGGGGCCAAAACCCGATGGGTGGTGCCAAACCCAACGGGATTGGTGCCGAACCCAACGGGATTGGTGTCAAACCCGATGGGTGGTGTCAAACCCAACGGGTTTGGTGCCGAACCCGATGGGCGGTGCCAAACCCAGCGGGATTGGTGACAAACCCAACGGGATTGGTGCCAAACCCGATGGGCGGTGCCAAACCCAACGGGATTGGTGCCAAACCCGATGGGATTGGTGCCAAACCCGATGGGTGGTGTCAAACCTGATGGGTGGTGCCAAACCCAATGGGATTGGTGCCGAACCCAACGGGTGGTGCCGAACCCAACGGGTGGTGTCAAACCCAACGGGATTGGTGCCAAAACCCGATGGGTGGTGTCAAACCCAACGGGATTGGTGCCAAACCCAACGGGATTGGTGTCAAACCCGATGGGTGGTGCGAAACTCAACAGGATTGGTGTGGAACCCAATGGGGTTGGTGCCAAATCCAACGGGATTGGTGCTGAACCCGATGGGTGGTGCCAAACCCAACGGGATTGGTTTCAAACCCAATGGGTGGTGCCAAACCCAATGGGGTTGACCCCAAATCCAATGGATGGTCCCAAACCCAATGAGGTTGACCCCAAACCCAATGGGATTGACCCCAAACCCAATGGATGGTCCCAACCCCAATGGGGTTGACCCCAAACCCAACATGGACAGCACCAAACCCAATGAGTTTGACCCCAAACCCAATGGAGTTGGTCCCAACCCCAATGAGGTTGACCCAAACCCAATGGAGTTGGTCCCAAACCCAATGGATGGTCCCAACCCCAATGGGGTTGACCCCAAACCCAACATGGACAGCACCAAACCCAATGAGGTTGACCCAAACCCAATGGATGGTCCCAAACCCAATGGGGTTGACCCCAAACCCAATGGATGGTGCCAAACCCAATGGGGTTGACCCCAAACCCAATGGATGGTGCCAAACCCAATGGGGTTGACCCCAAACCCAATGGACGGTCCCAACCCCAATGAGGTTGACTCAAACCCAACGCCAACAATGCCAAACCCTCCGGTTGTCACCGAACCCAACATCTCGGGCACCACCCACCCCCGGCGCCGGGGCCGTCCCAAATTTGCCGTCCGGGGAGGACGTCCGGCGCCGTCCCACGCGTCGCCGGCGCCGCTCGCCGCAGGTGAAGGAGCTCGGAGCCGCCATCTACAACTGCAGCTGCTTGGCCGAAGATTTGGGCAAAATCTTCGAGGCCTACTGGGCCCTGGGCGTTCCCGGCGCGTCCATCCCGGCGCCGTGGCCGGACAGCTTCTCCACCGCCATCAACGCCGAGACGCCGCTGGAGACCACGCTCAACGGCACCGCGGCCGCCGTCTACTTCTCGGTGGGTGCCGCGGCACGGGGCGCGCCGGGCACGGCGGCGGGCGAGCGCGCCGGGCTGATCCGCCGCTCCCGGCAGAGCTCGCCGCCGCCGCTCTGCGCCGCCGGCCGCACCGGGGACCTGGAGGCGCTGCTGGGCGCGGTGGACGGCGCCGAGGCGTTCGTGGACGTGGCGGTGATGAGCTACGTGGCCGGCACGGAGTTCTCGCGGCCGCGGCGCTTCTGGGCGGCCATCGACGAGCGGCTGCGGCGCGCCGTGGTGCAGCGCGGCGTGCGGCTGCGGCTGCTGGCCGGCTGCTGGGGCCACAGCCGCGCCGAGATGTTCCCCTTCCTGCGGTCGCTGGCCGC